ATTTCAACCTCGATCCCCACTAAAGAAGAGAAAGAAAATAAATCGTCGTCCGACCCACATGGCCAAGGACAGATCCCCTTTCTCTTCCCCAGCATCAGATTTACAACACCTGGTGCACAGCGCTTCATCAAGCGCGGGAATGCTGAGGCAGCTTGCTCCTAATGATCTCATTCGGCTTTAAAAGTCATTACGGGATGTGGATGCACATAATCATTTTTTGATCTTTATTGTGTAGACATTCACTAGCACGCATCAAAGGTTTAGCTGCTCGTTTTAAAAGGGCTAATACTTGAGGAAGCAGTTATGGGCTGTCAGAGCTTTTAGTCACACATTAAGGAAGAGCAGTGTATATCCGTTTGACTTTTGCTGTTAATTCCTCACCAGCTGTACACCGTATTACATGGAAGGTTTGATGGTCATTCTGCTGGGATTTTCTCATTCTAATTCGCTCACTGAACAATCATGATCTCCAGATATACGTCTTCTAGACAGGTAGTACAAAGGAGCATGAGATCAGTGGTCCACTGTCCCTTTCTGCCCAGGGTCAGAGCACTGTGGTACATCAGTAACCATTTCTTATATCTCCTCAGAACACGGAGGAGATATTCTGCAGGTCCTTCTTTAACAGGCTCAAATGTACCAAAAGTGCATTGGAGGAATGACATCTGATTAAAACTAGAATTCCATCTGATTTTCTAATCGATAGTGTATCCCTGCTTGGAGTTTCTCAAGTTAGCCTCCCTGTAAATTGATTAACCAACTGGATGATTTACAAGTAAAATGTATTTTTATAATATTCCACCTTCCAATAAGTCACTTTGTCACTTTTCTGGCAGCAATTTTCAAGTTGGTACTCTATCATCAAGGCTATGGATTTAACAGTCCTTACAATCATTTCGGGGGCAGCACAGTGCAGTGGGTAAGTTGTTATTCATACCTGATAGGTTGTAGGCTCAAGTCTGCTCTGCAGACCTGTTCTTACTTTACCCCAGGTGCTCCAGTCTACCCAGCTGTATGAATGGGGACAAGTGGTGGTGGAAATGAGGTTCTATGACGTTTAACACTGTGGCAACCAGGATATTACCTTTCTGGCTCAAATATTGTGTAGACTGCAGCATTATGTTGGGCGTTTTCAGTGTGGAGGCGGAGCCCTAGATGAAGGGTGATGCGTTGCTTTAGCAAACACAGCTGACCTGGTTAATTTAGGACAAGCCGCAGCTTTGGGGCCCTTTAAGACACACTGAGCACCTCCCTGGAGGAACGAGCAGAGCCCCGCAAGGGGAGAACCTTCCAGTGACCGTGCGGAAGGGGACTGTGGAGAGAGTTTTGAGGCCGTGTTTTTGCTTCTTTTTATTTTCTTTTTCTTTTCTCCTGTCCCGCTGTGAGGATTTACCGGGACAGGTTGAGTTTTCCCTTGTTTTTGGCCTCTTGCTCCTTTTCTTCCAGTCTAGAACCCACTAAATAGGGATTGTCCAGACTGGATCCTGCTGTTCCAAGCGGTCTTTTTCCCCCCCAGACAGGACCCCATTAGGTAGGGAAAGTCCAGTCTGGACAGCGGTGTGCTTCTCCCTTTTCCCCCTCTTTTGTTGTTTTTCCCTCTTTTGCCGACCTCACACTGGTGCCTCTGCTGCCTCAAACGGGGCGCTGACGTTTACCGGTGTTCCTGTGGTTCCTCCCAGAAGCCCCCATTGTTACACTACACACTTACAATCTTTTCACAACTCAATATGCTTTCATTGATCAAATCTGCTTATCGAAATGAATTGAAGTTTTAATGCAAGAAAATTGATACCGAATCAAAGTCTCCTTGACATAATTCAGCCAATGTGCTATTTTGTGGTGAAATTGAAAAAAGGCCAACGGATGAAGCCGTAACCAAATGGAGTAGATTACAAATGAGCATGGTGGGGTTGCTCTGATTGTGTATGAATTTCCCCGACTTTGAAAAGCGAAGCAAGAAGTCATCCTCAGAACAACTGGAGCACTTGCCTCTTCTTCCTACTGTACATCACAACCAGTTGGAAGCACAGGCAATACAGAAAGGCCCCTCTGAAGATACAAAACCTCTTTACCTCATGCACAAAATATTCTACACAGGCTAAGATGTTGTGAATGAATTTTTTACTTATTTTTTAAAATCATGCCCTTTTCGATGGAAATATCACTTCTGAATATTTTCTGCTTTTAAATAAAACATTTGAAAAACACTCATACAAAACAAATGTTGCTTGAACATTATCATATATATGCAGGTTAGTAATAATTATGGCCTGTTCACAAATCCAAGGAATTCCATTGCCTTTCTGTAAATTTAAGGAAAAGCTGAAGTTCATAGCGTTATCTCCTAGATTGAGCAACTTTGATTCACTTACCATTTACTGGTCAAAACATTAATTTGGTGCCTCTATGCTAAGTGGATTCAAGAAGCCGGTGGGGACCGAAAGCCACAATCAAGCCAGCCATTTTGAATTTCCAATTGGTGAGCAGGCTGAACTTTAAATTGAACCCAGGCCAAGGACTCAACTGTGACCCTGAATAAACAATTCATTAACCTTTAGATAAGGTAATTCCATCCAATCGGCATGCTTTAATAATCAATGTAATTAATTGTGGTGTAAATTGGGGTTGTAAAACTGTTGTTACCTTACCTTACTAGCAATTCTGTACATCTAAAGATGTGTAATTAAAGTATTGCTGCTTATGAAGGAAAAATACAATTAAATGAATTAAAATAGCAACACGAGTATACTGCAGGGGAAACTTGTATTCCATGTGCTAGCTAAGTATGAATTTCTGTTTATACTAACAATTAACATCTGATTGACAACCCCTGGCTGGTAAAAAGGCTGACTTTTGAAGTAATATACTGTATAACTAATGTATACCCTTCATTTTTCACTTACAAGGCATGCATTAGATATTACTCAACCACTCAACAAGTTGTGTTTCAGCAATAATTTAGTGAATCAACCCTTATAGTAGTGCCCTTTTTGAAGTGTTACCAGAAACAGTGACCTAAAACTCTGGAAAAATTGGAATGGACAGCAAGCAACAGCAAATGACCATGAAGCGGTACACAGCAACAAGCTGGATGAGGATTACAGCCATTATTCATGATAGAATCTTGGGAAGACCACATCAGAACATCTTCAGCTTATAAATTATCCCTAACTTAGTAAGATTAGCACAGTTCAATTGTTAATTTTTCAGCTTCAGGAAGATAATTCACTTTGTGACCAGAGAAGCTCTCCCATTGAAGGATGTGATCGTTGCTGCTCATGGGCTCCTCTGACTACAAAGTCACTCAGACGCACTGCACCTAAAGGCTGGGATTCCCTTTGGAGGACATTTCAACACCGTGAGACCAGTTGCTCATGCTTTGCTTATTTTTTCTGTATGCCGAAGACAGACGTTTTTCTTGTTCCTAGATTTGTGTCTTTACCTTGCAAAGCATCAGTATTGCCTTGTTCCCTTGCTTTCTAAACACAGCCTGGGGTGACTCCTCAATGCTCCAAACCCTCAATGCTTGTCCGCTGTGCAGTGGTCCCAGGTGTTTCTCTTTCAAGTGCCTTCACAGTAGCGTCCAGCCCTTTCACCTCAGCTTGAATTTAAAAACCACCAAACCCACACAGTGTTTTAATGAAAAAGTGTCGGATTTTCTTTTTTACCTTGGGTCCCCCTTCTTCCACAATATTCTTGATTTTGATCAATATTCTTGTTTTTCATAGTTGCAAAGGCAATTGCTTTCATACTTTTGCCCTAAAATGTATGTGGTTCACTGGGTTTATCACAATACATACCTGTTGAAAGAGGGCACTCTTTGTATTTAGTGATCAGCCTTTCACTATTACACAATTGAATTCTTCAGATTATTTTTTTAACTTAACTTTAAAACAGAGAATCACTTTGAAAACCTATTGCTTTGGCCCTCCTATTGGCTTGATTAAATCCCATTAGTGAAAATGGTCAGCATTGCACCACTTGAGGTGCACTTAAGATTAGTGTGTTGATTCTTAAAATGCTACTCTCAGGTGCGATAGCAACACAGAAACTCCAGTTAAGACTCCTTCCCATATATGTAAACACCATTCTTCAGGGTTTATGTGTAACCTTGAAGTCTTTAAATGTAAAGGTCATATGGAGCAGTGTTGGAGGTCAGCTGCACTCTTTCTTGATTTGGTTATAAGGAAGTGTCATTAAACGTGAATGTGTTTTTGCAGATATGTGCATGTTGTATTACCTACTGTAGTTACAGGTACAGTAATAGGTGTGCAGCACTCTAAAAGCTCTGTAGGTTAATACATTTAATTTGACGTTTCATCTACAGTATCTTCCATTTGAGTAGTATCTGTTTCTAAAATGTTATCTGAGTTTAAATGAGTAATTGTTCATCAGGCATTAGGCTGACTGGCAATTTAATAAGAGGTTTCAAATGGTATTAAAGGCAAGTGGAAAGACCAAAACAAATTTGTAACATGAGCAAAGCTCCGTTGCATGGGTTCACATACAGAACAAAATAGAATTTTTAGACACTCAAGGAAAAGGGCTGAAAAAGTGAAGTGCATTTTAAAATCGAGCCTTCCATAAAAAAAGCTTAAGTTCTTAAAACCACTTTTGCTTAATTTTGAGGTTCTAACAAGTACCTCCAACTGAGAAAAAAAAAACATTAATAAAATTGACCTAAAAAATACATGTATATGGCAACAGGCCCGCTTGCTGCTGTTGTACCAGTATCAAAGACTTTCTTTTTAGTTAAATTTGTAAAGATGAAGAATGCAGTTTAAATTTTTTCCAAATAAATTATTTTTTCTTCTTAAGAGGGAAGTAATGAGTGAAATTTAACTGATGGTTATTTACCATTGAAATGTCTTTGCCTTTTATCCTTTTGTTTGCTGCTGCTTTGTGGACACTGAGTTTATAAAGAAAAGAAGCAGTGGGAGAAGAGAATTTGCTTTCGAAAGGAGATTCATTAACTCAACAAGCAAAAGAAAATTCATATATTCAAAGTTTAGCCAAATATTCTATATTACATCAAATACTGAAAAAGGTTCATTAGGACAGTTGATGCTAACATCTCAGTAAAACACAAAAAGTATCAAAGCATAACAAAAATGACTAAGAAGTTCAGTGGTGGACATGAAAGTAGATGCAGTGTAGATGAAAGAGCCCTTCCTTCAACTGGAGAACAGTTATATATGATTGTCGTCATGCTCCAGTACTTCAGCAGTGCTGGAATTAAAATGACAAAGCAATTTGCAGCAGGGAAACAAAATACAGTTACATTCATGCATTTTATGGGGAAAGATTGCATAGCTGTTAAAAAAAACTATCATTGTGTCCTTGGTGCCAGTGCTGTGCTTTTTGTATTTTCCTTGGTGCACACCACATATATTTGACTTTTTAAAATTGATTCATCACTACCCACAGTTGAGACAAAAGTGGTCACCCCTTTGGAAAAAAATGTAAGATATTCCAGAAGTGCCACCTTAATAATTGCAATGTGCAAGACACACATAAAAAAGGAGAAAGCCTAACAGCTTAACATTCAGTTACAAAGACACTGAAGTCATTCACAACTCCCGGCAGTCTTCCAACGGTACAGCAATATATGCAGGTGTTTCCTGTTTTCTTCTTTCTCTGCATTTTAGTAGACAAAAGCTGTCTGTGCATCTTTCAAGTTACAACAGTTGACAGCTTTGCAATTCTGCGAAAAAAGCATGCATTTTTTTCCCTCTTGATAAAACTTGAAATGCCCAAAGGCCTGTGCTTCCTTGAAATCAACACCACAAAATCCTGTCAACCCAGCCAAATTATTGTCTTTTTACGGACATGTCATTTAAGATAAATGTCAAGGAAGAGTAAAGGTCGGTATCGCCTGACATGTTGTAGATGCGCACTGCACGACATCGTGGGGACAGCATTGATAGGATCACTGGTGTCTGCTGTGGTACTGCACTGTACGTTACATCTTGTTCCTCAGTGCAGCGCAGTTCACACTGGCAGCCGAAACTTGTGGGGTATTCTCTGCCACTGTCCTGCTGTTCAACAGCGCTCCTGAACACCTGAGATCAGGCAGCCTAGGGACATCATGGCTTTCCTTTTGCACATCTTCCCTGACTTTTCTCAGATCCGTATGTGGAAAGTGCTGAAAGTAAAAAGAGCAAGAAAGGATTAGTATTGGATTTCTTTAAAGGAGAACAATGCACTTGTTTAGATTAAAGCTACCCTTTCCAGGTTACATTTTGCAGATGACCCACCAGCAGATAAGCATGTAAGAATAATTTTAGGCGATAGTTCTTAATAGTGACTCCATCAAACTCATTTGCTCAACAGGGATACTTGAATTCTTAGCCTTCCAAGGATTCTAAAAGACTGAAAGACAACTGCACTGCACAAAGTCTTCAAAAATATTACAATAAATAAAGTAAAATAATTTCAAATTCACCCATAAACGTCAATTGAAAGATGATACAGTAGCCTCCCAAGAAAGTAACAATGTGGAAATTCAAAGATTCTGAATGAAAGAAAATCTTGACCACACCCTTCTATGAAAACAGCTTAACTTTGTCAACAACTCTGCCCAACTAGCCCATCAAACAAAACCAAGGTATTAACTTCAAAAACATGGGGGGTAACATGTTCCACACTCCTGCAAGCCTACAGTAGGTAAAGAAGTGCTTCGTGATCTTCGTTCTGAATGCACATCCACAAGTGCCTCTCTGTTCCTTCTGAAAAATCATCTGAGGGGACTTTGTCAAAACCCCTGAGGATTTAAAATAATTTTATCAGGTTCCCTAGACGTCTTCTGTATTCAGCACTGAAAAGGCTGACTATATACAGTATACAGTAAATACCAGTAAGAAAAATAGTGTGTAATACTCTATAACTTGTAGGATGTATGTTTCCATTACATGCACATTATATACATACAATATCCCCCTTTAGTCTTCTAAGTGACTAAAGATTAATTTACACAATATAAAATTAAACTTAAGTAATTAAAACCAATCTCATAATTTAATCACCCAGAGAAAAAAAATGTAATAAGGGAGAATTAAAGTAATGAACAGGACCTTTTAAAATGCTTCTGAATACTGATGACTTCACTCCATAAACTGCAGACAGTTTTTGCCTGCAAACCTACAGTACCATATATCACATTTATGACAGAGTGAACTACAGTCAATAGTAGTTTGCTATATTCTTCTGTAATCAACATCTAGAGCTTTCTTAGCAATTTGAAAGCCAAGACTTTGAATCAGAAACACAACACAAAACTTACAGATGCAGACCCTGTCTCAGTCTATAAGTCAGCAAACAAATTATGTCAATGTGACCTTCACTTAGCATATGGTTTCAAAAATAGAATATTCTGGTTCTGTGTAGTCAAACTCACAACTACAATGTGAATCTTGTTTCTCTCTGCTAATCTTAAGCAATTAATTTGATGTCATAAAAGTTGTCCATTCTGAATATTTGATGGTTCATGTGATGTGACAGGCCAAAAATGTATGGATTTGGTTAAAATAAAGTTTAAAAAGTGTGTCTCTGAATCACTCTGTTGCCATTCTTGACTGTTCAATTTCTTCCTGCTTTATGAAATCTTGGCAGATTGATCCTCAGGGCTTCTTTATATATTTCTTGGCTTTTCCGTTTAAAACCATTGTGTGCCATTGTGAAACGAGACTGCCTCACCCTAATGATTTACAAAGCAATTTCCTGTAAGAAAAATGTAGCCAGTCTTGAAGAACAGATCACTTGGTCAGTGCCAGAGCATAGTGTTAATACTCCCATTAAACTACAAGCAGGCCACTAATGATAACATTTTAGAGTGAAATACTGTTGCTAAAATGTAATTTCCCTGAAGTTAGCAACTGAAAGTGTCCTTCAGTGCTTTTAAATCCCACTTCAAAACTTACTCGATCAAAATCCTACTCTTTAACAAATTTGTTTTCATTTTTCATGCCATGTAATTATTATTATTCATTTTTATTATGCATTTGTATTTTACATATTTATTCAGTATAGGGCTCTGAGATGCACTTTGCAAGTAAAGATAAAAAATAATTCAGGGTGTTGTGAGGAATTTAAAACCACTGAGCAATCTTTAGCACTGTCTGAATTATCCGAGGGAGGGTACTGAGTTGTATGTTAATTAATGTTCTAGAAGAGCAGAACATCTGTGCGATTCACACTATAAAACTGGGACCCTCCGAATATCTGCACATAAAACACTCTGTCAAACCCGGCTGTAAAATTACTGGCATCTGTTAAAAAGGCGCTCTGCATATTCAGTGTGGTAGAATGGTGACTGTGTGGCTGGGCATAGCACAAAATGAAGAAACAAAAATGCCAATACAAGGATCATTTGGAAATAAACAGATAAATACCCAGATTATCCATATCGCAAGCCTTCCTGACAGCAGCAGCAGCATCTCAAACACGTTTACTGAGGAATGAGATAACGTTCCACATCTAGCTACGGCCTAAGTACTAGGGCCTGGATGGAACTGAAACTCGTCTGATTCCCAATATGTCGTCATACTGTAGCAGCACTGTGCATAGATGTTTGCAAGTGGAATTGGTAGGTGGCTCAGAGATCTGCTTTACCTGTAAATGGATAAGCTCAGTGGTATAAGCCTATATATCTCCTTTCCTGTAGATGTTTTATTCTGATTTATTATTTATTATTCTGATTTGTTTGTCTTTTTTTGGGGGGACATGGCAGAATCTTACCAGGCTGCCTCAGTCTGAATGACAACCAGTGAGAATAAATTTCAACCACAGCCTTAGTTGGTGTTTTGGTAATCCTGTTACAGATGGCCAAGGTACAGAAGGCTGAAAGAAGTGTTTTATTGATAGCCTGCATCTGCTCTTCCCTGACGTTATGTTATTAAGAGTCACAAAGCACTCTCCGTGTGAAACCACACTAAGGCAATATTTCCTGTCTTGGCTCTGGGAATGAAACCTATTGGAACAAATTTCCCACTTTCCAATTTAAAATGTTGAAATTTCATTTACATCTTAACACAGGTACTGGCCTGGGTCTCTGTGTGAAATGAAGTCATAAAACAAGATTTATCACAATAATCTGTCATAATCTAATCTGTCTGTCAATAGAATATGTAAATCTTTATGTGTATGTGTGCAGAAACACTGAAATAATTCCATTCTTATCTGCATCTAGGATTCCATGTAAAATGAAATAAAGAATTAAACGATCTCACAGTCCTTCCTTATACTTGTGTAACAGGTATCTTAAATTAGAATTATTTTTTCAAAACATTTCCCTCTCTGTTAATCGAACAATATATCCCCAAGAAATGCTTCTGGATACAGGCTGCATCTTCATTTAAGAGTGCAAATGATGAGTAAACAGTGCCAGACGTTGCAAGAGGCTTCTGTGACTATAAATGAGAATCCATCAGTGTAATGAAGACAATTACTGTATGATGTTCACCGTGCAACACAATTGATTAAGAATGGTCTGGAGCGTGAATGGGTGACCAGTGGAATACATTTCTGTCAAGCAGGAATCAAAAGGTGATCAAGTCCATTTTATGCATGTAGTACTGTAGGTGAAGGACAGATTCATGATAAATGATAAATAATTATAAGATGATCACTGTGCGTCTAAATAATCTCTACAGCAACATACGTTTCTGACACTAAGTTCTTTCTGGTGGTTTTAGCTTTCATAGTATTTGTGCTTACTATGTGATGTGACAGTATTGTCCACTGTCTTTGATCAAGCACTTTAGCTTGCATTATTACAGTTTTGCAATAAGATTAAATACATTTCAGAAACATTCCTTTTATTGCTCTGTATTAATTCCAGCACCAACACAACCATTCTGTTGACCATACAGTAGGAAAACTATTATTTGTATGGTATTACTTTTTCTGTACTATGATAGACAAGCACACCAGTGAAAGACCTTTTAAGATTTTTAGGCTAACCCAGGTGAAAGATTCAAATGCACGAGCAGTTTTTAACAAAGGTTTGACTTCATCCCTCTTGTCTGAGGGAATGGTCATCAGACCACTGGTTATCTGGAAAGAGTGGCTGGAAGGGTAATAAACAGTTACTGGAGGGTTTTAATATGGTAACTGCTAGGTACAGTATGTGGATGTCACTTATATAGCGCTTTTCTGGACAATGCACTCAAAGCGCTTTACAGGTAATGGGCACTCCCCTCCACCACCAATGTGCAGCCCCTACCTGGACAGCAGCCATAGTGCTCCAGTCCACTCACCACACACCAGCTCTCAGTGGGGAGGAGAACAGAGTAATGAAGCCAGTTCATAGATGGGGATTATTAGGAGGCCATGACTGGTAATGGCCAATGGGAAATTTCACCAGGACGCCGGGGTTACACCCCTACTCTTTATGAGAAAAGCCCTGGGATTTTTAATGACCACAGAGAGTCAGGACCTCGGTTTTACATCTCATCTGAAGGACAGCGCCTTTTTACAGTATAGTGTCCCCGTCACTATACTGGGGCATTAGGACTCACACAGACTTCAGGGTGAGCGCCCCCTGCTGGCACCACTAACACCTTTTCCAGCAGCAACCTTAGTTTTTCCCAGGAGGTCTCTCACCCAGGTACTGACCAGACTCACTCCTGCTGAGCTTCAGTGGGCTGCCAGTGGTGAGTTGCAGGGTAATATGGCTGCTGGCTTAAAGCTTAAAAGCGTAAAGAAGATTCGGGGCTTTGACCTTATCTTAATTCTAGGCAAAACATAATAACTCCAGGTTATCAAACAACAGAACTGTAGAAACAGTAAGATTAAAGGAAAGGTGCCTAAATTCTGCAATGTGTCTTGGCATAATGGCACATTAATCTGATGACTAGTACAGTACATCTAGAAATAAGCCTGGAGAAGAAGATAGCTTTCCCAAAAGCTCTGATTTATTTAGAGATAACAACTCAAACTTCAATAGTGTATTACACAGAATACACAAAACAAAGGATGGAAGCAAAGGATAAAAAAGGATAAACTGCAAAGGATAAAAACTACTAGATACTGTGATTCTGGTCTGCTAGAACAGAAAAATTGTTGTAAGAAAAAGAGCCTCTCTTAGAGCTAGAAACAAGGAAGGGAAGACTCTTTTACTTTGTAAATTGACACTCAATTACTTAGAATAGCTAAGTCTTAAAAAGATGATTTTGCTGCACTAAGTGACACAGGAATAGCTATATCCACATTAGCATCCACACCAGTTTAGATATGAATAAAGTGTTTGTGCTTACCTCAAGAAGTCAGGAGCCCTGGAAATCATATTTTCAAAATCAGCAAAAGCTAGCTTGCCATCCCCATCTAGATCTGCTTCTTCAATCACTTTGTCACACACTAAATTCACCTCTTCGGCTGTGAGCTCCTCTCTTGTCAATTTATTCAATGTTTTCTCCAAGTCCTCCTTACAGATGAAATTGTCTGTGTTGAAATCTAGAAACAAATATTTTAAGGTGGAAAAGTCTAAGATTCTTTTTCTGACCAAATTTCTTTGTGTCTGTCCATAGAGTGATGTCCTAGCTGTTTAAAATTAACGTGTTGTGTCATTAAGAAATGACAAAGTTTCGAATGAGAGTTTGTTTTGAGAACTATTTACAAATGGTGCTGTATTAGTGAGACTTAAAAATAATTTTGTTTGTATGGTATATAAAATCGAGAGAGCCTATCTGGCAAAAATATACAGTTTGGAGAACCTTCTCTCTCTCTTTAAAACTTTTTAAATTTGTATTGATAAGAATACAGTGACTTGCAATCATCATGGCATTGATCAATCAATATCAAGTGATTGAAGTGACTTACCATATATTTTAAATGCATATATAGCCTTTAGTTCCCGCGGAGCCATTTCACTCAGAACTGAAAACATGTCCACAAAATCATTGAAGGAGAGATTCCCCTGTCCATCTTCAGAAAATGACTCCACAATGCGGTTCCTAAAGGGATTCTCCTGAGCAAAAAAGAGAGCTTGTTTTACAGCCTGCAAGCTTTGTGCCTTGCAGCAGTTATCAAGGACCTATTTAGCATGGGTGCTGTGAGTAAGATGTGTGGTGTCATCCATTGGTGTGAAAGAGGTTTAAACAAAACACCCCCAACAGATTCTGAGTTACAGTACTGTTTAACAGTGATAATAAAAGCTGTGAAAAGTCCGTTGAGCTTATCTCAAATCTGGAAAGGCAATCAACCTCTATAAATTCTTAAAGTGCAACTAAATTAGGGAGATATAAACATGCATGGATTCAAGAGGAAATCAAGGCAGGAGAAATTAGACATTTATATTTACATCTTCCACACATCATAAGAATTAGGTTTCTAGATACAGCAAATTTAGTTTACATCAATGATGGATGTCGCAGATATTTTTTATTTTGCTTTTAGTTGCTTCAGAGACTTCTAGGTCATCGCTTTCCTACTTCATAATGAATACACATAGCCAATGTGACACGACAGCTGAAGAAAATAAACGTGATTTGTCATTTTTATAAGACATGCTAAGAAAAGAAACAAGAAAAACATTAGATTTAATCTAGGATCAGAAGTACCTAAGGTTTTATTTCAAAGCAAGCTCTTTAAAATATAGCCAAAAATCAAATACACAAGTTTCTTCTTAAAAATGACCTTGGCCAAAAACTGGTATGAGCATATTCATGAAAAGACTAGGTAATAGTGAGATGAAGTAGCCAAGCACATTGTCCTCTTCTCTAAATTTAGAAATTCACGTGCCATTCTTTTGTCTCAAGCTAGGCCAAAGAATTTTATGCCAAAAGTGCACTGTTCACCTGACACATGGGATGATGTATATTGTGGGGTGGACAAGTAAAACAGTACCCTCAAGCTAAAAGTTACTGAATTAATATGTACAACAAGATAATGGCTAATTAAGTCTGATCCTAAAGTAAGCTCTTTTTTAACAGTGTTCAGACCCAGGCAGAATGAAAATTAGTCCTTCCTCAAATATCCACATTGACTAATCTTCTTCACTGGTGTCATTTATAAAAAAACAGTTTAGTGCCCTATTTTACATTGATGTTCATACTGCACAAAGAAGTGCAATTTGAAATTTGAAGGTCATTCTGAAACAACAAAGCATTCAAGGAGTCTCTTCTGAGGACATCGGGCCCCTTTGTACACAAGCATGCACAGTCATACACATGTACAGTATACTGTAAGCACTTTGGTCAGTTTTACATCAGGCAGGTAAGCAGGCATTGACTTTTACTGCCAGGGTCACTAGTGTTTGGAATAACAACATCTTACATTAAGCTCATTAACATGGGCTTCTGTGTAGGTGCAGCTGTGATTAATGTCTATGAAGCTTCTAATGGCATTTGAATTCTGCTTGCTGTCTGCGCCTCATCTGTCACTGTTCAAGGCTATTGCATTATTTTGAATTTAAATGGTGAATAACTGATTTTTTCAGAGGGGTGCACTACTGTATATCCTTAAGAAATAAATAAGAAAACAAAAACCAAGCCCTAGAAGTTATTATTTCTCGGGACAACACCGTAACTGTTTAATCCTTTACATTCGGCAATGTAGTATCCTATGAAATAAAATGAGGGAGAGTTTTGCCAAAGGAACAAGACAGTGCATCAGAATTTGATGCATGTAGTTTTAATTTGAACATTACATGGGATGGATTCCCAGTTATCTGGACATGACTAGACTAATGAATTCTCACCTTATTACCTCTTCCTGATTTATGAAGTAATTGCAGTCATTGCAGTTCACTGTCATGAATAATGCAAATGCTTCTGTACTAAAAAAATAATTTCCTTAAGGGAACATATCCAACATCTCTGCCCTCAACAAATATCCCCACTATGTTGTACATGCATTACAAATGACTGCACTACAAAACCTGGAGCTGGGAGTGAATCATTTTCAAGGAGCATTAACGTTGAGTAGTTAGGACCCAGAAATGTAATCTCTAATTTCTTCACTGCAATTAAAATAAACAGCAAAGAACAGGTCCTATTAAAACATAATATTCCTGCAATATGTACAGAATAGGTGACAGTGAAATGCTGTATTCAAGTTATGCTCTAAAAGAAGCGTACAGTATATAGCTTTCTATAAATGTTATATTGGTATTCCTAAAACCCAGTTTTGAATTATTCTTGTTCCTGTGGACATCAGAGACTCCACTGCAGAATTTTTAATATCCTGCTTTACAAGTGTTGCAACACTTGTCCTTTGACTTTTTTTTTTATTTCTACCTCGTTGCACAATTGTTAATTTATTATTGTGTTGTGTGTGTTGGTGGGCATTGTGAGAGACACTGGAAAGTCGTAAAGTCGTCAGAAGGCTTTTTAATGCAGTCTGAGACCCTATGATCACGAACTACAAATACAGGTATACAGTACCTGGACTTTAGAAACAATGTGTGGGTCTTTTCTTCTGGGAAGCAGATAATCAGACTGGGGGTACCCAGTCCTGGTCCTGCATACCCACATGCCTGCTGGTTTTCCTTGCTAAAATTTCATCAATTATTTTGCCAGTTTTTAAATTACTCAAGAATCACGGGAAACCAATGTTGGAGATTTTAAGTGATTTAAGAAACACGGTAGTTAAAAGGCAACCTCCAACAGAGTGAAGTCCACTATTCAAAGTCCAAAATGTGCCCTTAGGCTGACAATGTAGTTAACTGGGGAGCTCGTGGGTCTCTCTGCAGTAGCACTCCAAGCTGTGAATGACGCTTCCTCAGGTTTGTGGTGTACTGTTGAGAGCTTTGTCAGTCCTTCACCTAACATAAACAAGTACGTTTCAGCAAGAATCATTTCTTCCCTCCTACGTGACAAGTACAGTAAAATGGGGGTAAATAACAGTTTGATATCCTAAAATATTAAGGTATATAAGGGGAGGAAAGAAACTGACAATTCTCAAATTAAAAAAATATATAGTGTGCTTTTAAAGTACCCCAGTATTAAAAAATGTTTTTGATCCATTTACTGCTGTTATCTATTGTTTCTGCAGCACAATAATTACAGAATGTAGGTCATTGATCAGAGCTGTCTGTCTAAAATCCTGTATAGACAGTCAAGACTCTTGAAAAATGTGTCTGCAAAGCAATTCTTCAGGCCCTGACTGAGTCACTGAGATTTAACCACCAAGTCTCCAAGTAATGGCTGAGGAAGGTAATAAAAATCACAATGGAATAGGAATTTGCTGTACAAATAATTAAATCTGATAATCAGGGCCTATTACTGTGTTTTATTTAACGTCTGAATCCCATTAAAAATGATCAGGTTGGGTCCATACATGCATGGAAAGTTTTATTAATTTTGTAATTGCATAGAATGTTTTATGCGGGAGATGGCTCAGAAATAAAGTTCAATTTTCTACTTTATTTCATTAGCAAATGTCTCTGAAGAGGCAGAGTTATCATTAACATTTCCAGGCTCCACCAAGAGCCCATTAAAGGATCTAATAGAAAAGAGATCCTAACCATGTCTTCCTCTTTGCTTCTAAAATCAGGTCTTTTCCCCTATATGAATGAAACTGAAATTATTTTAAAGCCATTAGAGAAAATACAGTGTCCCCTGCCTTTCAATAGATTAATACCATTAGAGTTGAACCATAGGTTGGCAGTATTTCACAAAACAAGATGTCAGCTGAGCCTAGAATCTAATGCGATGCGAATCTGTGAGGTGAATTACAGCTACTTATGGTAACACGTTAGGCAGAAATGTTGCACTTAATTGAGAATTCTGAAAAAAATACAAACCTCAAACAAACACAGGAAAAACATAAAAAGACATAAATTACCATTTACAATTTCTTAAGCCTCCCAGTTTCCCCCTGAAGAAAGAGAGTCTTTGTTGTTTGTACTTCCCTGCCAAGTAGTTTCAGGCTCATTATATTTTGCTACTTGCTTCCTTACTTCCTGCTGTGACAGATTGAGCCTAATCACACTCTCTCAAACGCACACACACTCAGGAGACTGACTCAGCAGCAAGCTGAATGTTTTTTCACTGGCAGGGTTATTAAATTGCTAATGGACGTGATGTGCCATCATGTGAATCCTCACTGCCTTTACCTCAGCACGTTTACAAAAATTTGGCATGAAGCTAAATATACATTTTACATATTTTACAGCCTGGGGTCATAGGTGTAGAGAGAATAGATGTAAATCCAGCTAAGACCTTAACAGTTTGCATGCCGTAGTCAAAGGTAGTCAAGACCTCTGAATGATTTTTTTCAGGAATGTGACATATCTAAAAAACTGTTTTGTATGACCAGGTTCTGTGGTTTAAGACCCTAAGAGTTCAAGTTTTGTGCACCTCTGACCTCTGTTGTTTGCTCCTCTGAATCACGGAGCCCAGAGCCATTCAATGTCAAATACAGAAAATGAATTGAAATCTTTCTACAATACACACTATAAAAAGAACTCTTTCTAACTGATTATAGTCCAGAAAACATGACAGGCCCTGTTAACAAGAGCACTGCGAGAGATAGCTTTCAATTTTATCCTCACAAATTGTGACAGCAACATCTTAATTGCTGTCTGCAGCTCACTGGATTATCAAGTTATCTGCTCCTTGTTCTTTCTGTCTGCTTTTGCTAATGGAAACTGACATTTATAGGAAACCTATATCATGTCATCATTACAGTTGCCTGAGATGTTTTAAAAGACAAAAAGTTTCCATGCATGCCTCTTCTGGGAAACTTTTGTTCAAAGTACAAAACTTGTAGATTTAGTTAACATGGCAGCTCTTGGATCACAGTACAGCAGACTCCATGTTGCTTTTTGCCATGTTGCCCACTGGTGATGTGATAAAATCTGGTGAATGCGAATCTTACCTTTAATTCAGGCATGTTTATTATCAGCTGTAAAGGGAGTTTAACATCAGGATCATTGGTATAATCCATTGGTACTAAATTAGGTGCCAGTTCGTGGTATCTTCCATGCAGCCTGAAAATAAGAAAGAGAAAAAATCATTCAGATTTTTTTTCACTCCAAATCTCATTTGAAGGTTAAAGCAGTTAAGCTTTGACAAGGCAAATTATATTAGAAATAGTGTATAATTGCTTTCTTACAAACTGCCGTTCTTCAGAGATTCTAAATGGCATATGGTATACTCTGCAGTATGCACAGCAAGTGCAAACAAGGATTGAAATGACATGAATCATGCAGGCAGCTTATCACTCGCAGAGCTGAAGAATGTCATGGCACTAAAAACGTCTTTCAAAAATATCAGAATGTATCAGTAATATCTTCAGGTTTCTTCAGCAGGAGTAACTCAGTTACTCCAAATACACTATGATCAAGACGTTGGTAAGAAAGAAACCGATCAACATTTCAGCTTACAGAATGGCTTTCTTCAATATGTTGTGATCTCTGTTTGGAAATGAAGTACTGTAGATGTTAGAAGCACAAATGTTTTCCATGCATTTACTGTAAACAGCTACATTTTCTCAAATGCTTTTTTGGGCCATACAACAAGCAATAGCATTATCTTAGAGAATCATCTATAGTCTTCCCATCATCATATCACTCTTAGAATACTTGAAATATACTGAAATATGTATTCCATTGTGTTGTGCAGGAATCAAAGTCCTTCAGTGAAAAATTGACAGTCATGTATTTATTTTAGTAATACATTGGACAGGATGACTATCCAGGACACATTTGATCTGTTTGACATTAATATACAATGGAACAAAACTCTTAACCCACCACAACCTAATCGAAAAAGTAAGTCAGTGCCACTATGTCCTGCGCCTTCATTACAGAGGCCTGCATTGAGCCTCAGCAGTTGACTAAAATCACTGTTCATTCTAAGAATAACAGTTTCATAGACAAACAAATGACCCCCCCACCCCCAACCCCACTATGTAGTGCATAGTGTAAATGCCAACAGAACAGCTCATGGGGAAGGAATAATACCTGATCCTAAATTATTATTATTTGGTGTAATATATGTAATATACTGTATTTACAATTATTGTATGTGTATTGCAAATGCTGCAGTGACCTTCAGTCACCTATTGAAGCAGTCTCATCCCAGTCCAAAGAAAATCCATTCTTTTCTTCACTACCCTTTGAAATGTTTACCAACATGTATTTTTGATTTAGAATATTAATATCAGTCCATAAAAGAGAAATCAGATACATTCAGGGGCTTAAGGGATTGTCCTACACTGACAGACAGAAGAAATGTAACCTTTTTAGTCCTGTACAGAGGAGACTCTGAGGGGATTTGACACCCGTGTTCAACATTTTTAAAAGCAGCGCCCAAGTCAACCCAGAGGTTCACCATGAATGATGAAACACAAATCAGGGAGCACAAGTGGAAACTATGTTGAAGTGCATTTCAAACCAAGGACATAAGGTACTCGTCTCTTACACAAAAGGGCTGCATGGAACAAGCTACTCAGCCATGCTGCCGGAGCAGATACCTGGGCTTCTTCCAAGAAACAGCTGCATGAGGTCCTTGGACCAATCCGAGCCAATGGCATCCTCTTGTGTGGAACTATTCTCATATTCTTATTAATGTACAAACAAGAAAACAACAAGCACTGGAGAAGTCAAAGTCAAGAGCATGGACCCCTCTTCTCAGCAGTTTCAGATAAGTATAAAAATAACATCACTTCCACAGAAACAACATTATTCTTTGTTTTCCATTCCAATTCACTTCAGAATTCTTTATTCATCCCCGGGGGGGCAATTTTGTATAAATTACTCTTGACATTAATTCTTTAAACAAAGCATTGTCTTCTTACACATTTGTTTTTCCTCACTCTAACTTTGTGTTTAAGACGTGGGTTACTCACCTCCGCAAACATGTAGTGCATGGTTCTTCGTTTTCAAAAATATCAAAATAAAAAAATATCATTTTTATGCTTTAGGAAACATGTATCTAACAGTAATAGTAACAGTAACAGTAACAGTAACATGATACAATTAACGTCCACAGGCAGTGCAATTATAAATGTGATTTCATGATGAGCAGAGATGATCTCTTACTAAACCTGGTGCCTTTTGTTTTTTGCATGTGAGTCATAACACCTACAACTCCCTGATTCTTCCTTGGGATGCTTTCTTTCTTTATGTGTGTACTGTTATAAAAGCCTGCCTTCCCAATTCAAGGCCACACAGTAAGCAAAGCAATTGTTGGAGAGATCTCATCTGGCAATGACAACTAAATGACTGCTATTACTGTAGCACTCAGGCATGGCCAATAGTACTGAGCATTATGCTCCAAAACATTGACATAACGATGCTACAGGTAGATAGGTAGATCTGAAGAAATGAAATGACTCCTCAGATCGCTCATGGCTGAGTAGCTCAAAACTAAACTAAAACTATTTCATCCGATGTGATGAAAGTTTGTCTATAAATGTTCCTTGCAATCACACATCATGTCGGCATCTTTCAGCTTTCTTACTGTGAAATGGCAATGAGACTCTTACTATCTTACCATATAAGGTGGGAGTCAGGCTGCTTTCCCTTCAAGAACACAAATAACTTACATGCTGCCATTAAAAATGCTGCACTCATTCTTGGTTTCAAAAGGGTGAAGAAAGGTAATGATTTGTGGTTTTGAAAGTGTAGCATTCTGGCATTATGAAAAATATAGTTAAATTATAAAGCAAATCATGCCGTTGCAGTTCCCCGAAGGCCTTTGTAATGTGAGATGATATTAAATCATGGTAATATATGCCCTCAAGCAATGTTCTACCCTTAAAATGAATACTGATTCAACTTGATGTGACATTCCTACAGTACCTACTATACATACAATACATATGGATTTACAGTATGGGAAACTGAATCGGAGCATTAATGAAATGACTTACACTGGTATATCTTTCTTTGCTCTCTCCTGCGTGTGAGTTGGACACATTATCTGATGAATTCAGAGAGCATTGTTTGGAATTTCTTTTTTGTGCATTTCAAACTGAGAGTCATCCATGGCTTGTCTGATAAAATGCTGCAGTTAACAAAGACAAAGGCTGGAACCCTTGTCATTTTCATCAAGTAACCCAGACTACATTTTAAGCAGTGCCTCAGATATGTTCATGCATGGTGTTTTTCTAGCCACTCTTTAGGGACCCAAATTGAACCGAATCATTGAAGTGATGATTTTCACACACCAGGAAACAAATAACTTGATTTCAATACCCAAACACTCAAAACATATAGCTAAAAACCGGTTTAGAAACCAGTAGCAGCTCCTGGGGTCAAGCTAGGTCAGTTAAGTATGAAATAACATGCGATTGCTTTCAGTTACAAAATTTGCAAATGTAATTCTCTTTTTCTGTGTTCATGCAGAATTTAATATCTCTGAACCCACTGTACTTTAGAGGCTCCTTGTGCAATTCTTGTAATTCTGCCTGTGTGATGTGCCCACTGTCTTCAATTTCAGTGACCGGAAGTCTACACCATTTGGCTCAGTACATTTCTTCTTCTGACACGGAAGAGAAATTTCACAATGTTCAACACTGCGTAAAATTAAGAGCCAGTGGTGAGCATTTCTTTGATCTGATAAAGATAATTTACAGTGTTGTTGGTCCGTGACACTGTTTCACAGCTGGATATATTTCAGAAATAATGAAAACTGTGCATGACACTGGGCACTGAAGACAGGAGATAAAAGCTCGTAATGGCTCATTGATGAGAAACAAGTGGAGGGTTTAGTGCCCATTAGAACCTAATACATTAACCATCTCATTAAGTTCAGGATTCCTTCACAATCCAAGCACTTTCTCTTAAAATCCTGCAGAGAAGGCAAGCTCAGTATGCAGAACCAAGCTTTCCAATACAACCTGTTAAGTTTTGTATGTGCAAGTTCAGTTCAGTTGTCACATCCTTATTTATTCTAATACAAACTTTAAATTGTACAGGTGTAAATCTGCTTTTGAAATACAACATTTGGAGGCAGAACTGAAATAACGTCTAGGGTTATTTTCACTGTACCTCTTAAGATAGCTGACTTTAGGATATTGCAATGCTTCTCTTTTACGGTTCATATACTGTACTAGTCTTCACTCTTATTTTAAATAATAATTCCAAAGATAATCTGTTCTGAGAGGTAATTCACTCTGTCTGGAATGGCTGACTTATCTTTGCAAGTCAAAGATAAGCTTGTAACCAGCTTTGTACAGTAGAGTAGACACTACATTCTAGGTTTATAACTAGAAGGTGAAGGGTTCAGTGGGGGTTCTGCTGTCATATCTTTGAATATAGTCATTTATTTGGATTGCTCTGATTAATACAACTTAAGTCATTTTGGATAAAAAAGATTCTAATTAAATAATAATAGCAATGACATTTACAGTATATCTGGTAAATTATACCACATACTGTATACACAAATAGCAACATCCAGACAAATACAGTACATACAGTATTACTCTGGCTAGAAGTATGTTGATTCTTAAAAAATACGCATGTTACAAGGATTAGTAACGATCAAGAAAACCCGCATTGACTGAAACCTATGTAGTGTAGTGTCTGGACCCTACAGAACGCTGCTCAAGTTAAAGAGATGAAAGAGGATGAACTGACATTATAATTTATTACAATGACCTATCTGTGATATCTGGGGTTAGCCGAGGTAAACATTATTTCAGTCAATAACCTTTTAAATGATAGCCACCTCCTGATATGCTATTAGCATAATGTGTTGAAATAACTTCTAAAATGTATTGTTCCTTGTATGCCAATTATAGTATTGATATAAAGAAAAAACAACATTATATGAATCCTAGATACAATTTGCAGAAGGTTCGTACATGTATTAGTGTGGACAGAATAAAGTTGTATGTTACATCTTATGTATATACTTCAAATTTATAGCCTGCTTTTAATTAATATTTCCTATATCTTTTGCACAGATAACATCTATTGAAAATCAGAACTAAGTATGTGAACAAGTCATTATTACATCCCAATACTTGGGAAATGGA